TTGAATGGAGAATGGTGTTATGACAAGCAGGATATTGGGAATGAGGCTGTTGCATTTTTCTCTAATCTATATACGCAAGAAATTACTCAGAATCATGATAGAGTTCTTGATCACATTCCTACTATACTGGAAGATTCTGATAATGACGCACTTGGTGCTATTCCAGGTGAAAATGAAGTAAAAGATGCTATATGGGGTCTTAATAAGGATTCAGCGCCAGGGCCTGATGGTTTTGGAGGGGCTTTCTACAGAGGTTGTTGGGATATTATTAAAAAAGATGTCATTCTTGCTGTTCAGGAATTCTTTCTGGGTCTACCGATACCAAAAAGTGTGAGTAGTGTTAATATGGTTTTAATACCGAAAAAAAAATCTCCGGCATCTTTTGGTGATTTTAGGCCTATATGTCTCTCTACTTTCATCAGTAAAATTAATACTCGCATCTTAGCTACCAGACTAGCACTTTTCTTGCCTAAGTTAATCTCTAGTGAACAGTCGGGATTTATGAAAGGTAGAGAAATAAAACATCAAGTACTGGTGGCTATGGAAATGCTTCACAATCTGGATAAAAAAGTCAGAGCCTCGAACATTGTCATAAAACTGGACATGGCAAAGGCTTTTGATAGAGTGGACTGGGTGTTTCTTGAGGCTGTTTTGACAAGGTTTGGTTTTAATCATAAAATCTTGGCGTTGATTATGGGTAATTTGAAAGCCACGTTCATCTCTGTCTTGGTCAATGGCACACCTTATGGTTTCTTCAAACCATCACGAGGTGTGAAGCAAGGAGATCCCCTGTCACCCTTGCTTTTCATTATCATGTCTGAAGCCTTTTCTAGGGGTTTAAATTATTTGGTGAACAAAGGTAAGATTGACACTTACAATCTGGGCAGGAGTGTCAGAGTTTCTCATCTTGCTTTCGCGGATGATCTCATGATTTTCATTAATGGGTCCTCTAAATCAGTCACTTGTTTCAATGACTTCCTTCAGTCTTATCAACAAGCTACAGGGCAATTGGTGAACAAAGACAAATCTTGTTTCGTGATAGGGAAGCATGCTACAGTTGGGAGGATTAGCCACATTGAAAATATATTGGGGATGAAGGTTTCTAAACTTCCTTTTAAGTATCTTGGTGTCCAAATTCACAAAGGTATAACAAGGGTGACACACTGCAAAGACCTGTTAGAAATGTTTGAAAAGAAAATTTTTTCTTGGAGCAATAAGTGGTTGACTCAAGGAGGCAGGCTAACATTAATTAAGCATGTTCTCAATTCATTGCCTTTACATGTTCTGGCTGTTACTAACCTGCCTCAATCAGTCTTAACATTGCTTAAAAGAAAGATTTCAAATTTCTTCTGGGGTCGAAACAATAACAAGCCTAAGTATCATTGGATACCATACAGAGATATGTGTAGGCCCATTGAGAGTGGTGGTCTTGGCATAAGGTCTCTAAGTGATATCCAGAAGATCTCTAGTATAAAACTCTGGTGGGAGTTTCATGAGGGAGGGAGCATATGGTCTGGCTTAATGCAAAGCAAATATGGTAATAGATCCCTGGGAGAGAGGAAGCCTACTGATTCTCCAACATGGAGTAGGATTACCCTTGTCCATGACCTGGCAGAGAGTATGGTCATCAGGGGCACAAATACACTTACATGGAAACATTCAAAAGATGGAAAATTCTCTACACAATCAGCTTATAGGGCTTTATGGAGTCAGGGGGGATCAACTTTATCTACTAGATACATTTGGCATAAAAGACAAGTGCCAAAGATCAAGGTCTTCCTGTGGAGGGTGTGGCATCGAGGTTTACCATTTCCTGAACAGTTGGCTAAGTTTTCAGCAGTATACCCTTCTATCTGCCCATTTTGCAGCAATGCAAGTGCTTCTCAGGATCACATCTTGGCCAATTGTTCCTTTTCTGCAGCAGTGTGGGGCTATTTTAATAATACCCTGAGTATTGGAGGAGGTAGGGTTAACAGTATACAAAATCGGCTAATGCAGTGGTGGATTTCAGTTGTTGGGAAAACAATGGACCAGATTTATAAGGCAATTATACCAGGTGTTATAACATGGCATCTTTGGAAGCTATATTGGGAAGTACTCTGCAAAGGCTTAAAGCCAGATAGAAATGAGGTGATTCATCAAATATGCAAATATATGATTAATTGGAGCTTGGCGAACAAACAACTTACAGGAGGCGAGAAGTTATCTGAACTTGGCCTGTTACCTCAACACCTTGTTCGGAAAAAGCCTCAGGCATTCAGATGGAGGAGACCAGCGAACTCCCAGGTGAAACTTAATTGGGCGGTGTTCAGGCAGAATGGCAAATCGGCGGCAGGATATCTACTACGTGACCACTCCGGAGCGATGGTAGCTGCGGCGGGATTTCCTCTAAGCGGCTCTTCGGTGATGGAGAGGGAGATTTTCCGACAGGCGGTGGAGTGGGTAGATGGAATGGGATTTCCTAATGTGATAATCGATGTTACCTGTTCTGAGTATATGGAGGTCGGTGCTGATCTATTGGGCCGAGAGTATTTGGACTGGGAGTATATTCCGGATGGGGTGAACCGGGCGGCAAAAGTTGTGGCTCGTTTGAGTTTGTTGCAGAACTTTAATTGGAGGTTGGGTCAAAGCATCCCGCGTGAGTTAGCAGGAGCTATTCGTTTAGATGCGACTTCGGTACCATATGTTTTTTGATTTTTTCCTCATTGCTTTTCACTTATGATTTTTGCTTCTAGTTTTCAAATGTTTCCTACTGAGAGGTATAGGTTTGGCCCCCCTCTCTTGTATGCTCTTGTCCATTTAATAAAACACTGGTAAACGTCCCCCGGCGTTTACCCCACCGGTGGGTGGTTTGCCTTCCGGGGTAAAAAAAAAAAAAAAAAAAAAAAAAAAAAAATATAAACACAACCAATTTTCAATCGTCGGTTCATTTATCATAACGATAAACAAAAGTCAAGGACAATATCTGCATCAAGTGAACACATGTATTTCCAAATATGTTATTACGCATAGTCAATTGAATGTTGTCATGTCAATGATAAACCTTATTAAGAGGTTAAATATTTTTATATGTAATAAGAAAGGCAATGCTATCAACGCCATTAATATTGTGACATAGAAATACGTTTTTGAGATTTATTATGATATTTTTGTAAAGTATAAACATTTATGATTTTTTGTTTTGTACTTTTATGAGATCGGCTAATAATTACACCATCTCTAATTCCATTATAGAGTTAATTATCAAAATAGGACTAAAAGTCATTCACTTTGCACAAATAGGACCAAAAAATAAACTATGTTTCCATAGGACTAATTATGTTTGTCTTGGACAAATATACCCTTATACCTATTGCAATGTTTTAATTCATAATAAAAAATAATAAAAATTCGTAAAATATACCAAAAAATTAATAAAATATTTTGAATAATAATAATTTTTTTAAAAAAAAATTTTTTAAAAAAAATTAAAAACAATTAAAAAAAAATCAAAAAAATATTTTTTTTTTGTCACCGCCGCCTATACCGCCCCAGCACCACCACCTCTAGGCATTTGGGGAAAAAATGCCAAATTTATTATGAATTCCATATTTTTGGCATAATTCAGAATGATTTAAGATGGAAGAAAAAAAAATGTTGGCATTCTCAAAGAGAAATATGCCATATTTTTGGCATTTTCCGAAAAAAATGGAAGTTTGTAGGAAATATGACATTTTTTTTAAACGGTCGGAGGTGGTGGTGCAGGGAGGCGGTACCACCACCTCCTGTCACCGGGGTAAAAAAATGCCAAAAAAATTATGAATGCCATATTTTTGGCAAAAGTCAAAAGGATTCAAGTTGGCAGAATGAAAATGTTGGCATTCTCATAGAGAAATATGCCATTTTTGTGGAATTTAAAAAAAAGTGGCATTTTTTACACCGATCGGAGGTGGTGGTTCAGGGAGGTAGTACAGGCGGTGGGAAAGGTATCCATATTTTTTTTAATGGAGTTTTACTATTTTTTATTAATTTTCAAAAAAAATTATTTTTTTTTTCTTATTTTTTATTTTATAAAAATTTTATTAATTTTTTTTATTATTTTTCTACGAATTATTGAAATTTTTTCGAATTTATTATGAATTAAACATTTAATTATGACTTTTAGTTATCTTTTACTAATATTTAAAGGAGGGGTAAGAATGGAAGGAAGAAATGAGTATGTTTCCAATAGGACCACTATGGTCCTATTTTGGAATAAAAAACATAGCAAGTCCTATTTTGAGTTTTTGCCATAGTTTTAGTCCTATTTGAAGTAATTTCTATCCATTATAATATAGATTGAGTTTATTATTGAGTATCTATAGAAGAAAAATCTTTCCAATTGTCACAAAAGGAGATCATACTTGTAGCTCAAATTTATGAGACTTTATTTCCCTCACCGGCAAAATAAAAGGGTATGAAAGCTTGTAAAAGTTTGTAAAGTGAAGATTATAACATCAATTAATTAAAAAATAATTTACTGAGGAGTTCAACAACAATTCATACATACATCATTATATGAAAAATGTATTAATGTCCATATGAATTGTTGTTGAATTCCTCAGTATATTATCTTTCTTATTAATATTTTTTTGAGCACATAATATTATTATGTTTTTTCCTAAATAAGAGTAACTTACGGAATATTTTAACGTTTACTTTTCTTTTATTTCCGCATGATGGGCGGTAAAATTCGAGCCAAGAGTTATGACAACTTTTTTTTACTTTATATTCCCTCCATTCCTAAATAAACTTTCTATTTTCCTTTTCTATTTGTCCCTTAATAAAACTTCATTTTTTATTTGGTAGAAAAATCTAAAACAATTCAAAACAATGTCAAAACAATGTATTGTGCAATAAAATTTATCCACAATAAAATTGTATTCAAGGAAGTCATATAAAGATAACAATTTTGCTTCGTATTGTCTATGCGCAAAAAATTACACTAGAGTTTTAGTAAAGTGTCTACTCCAAAAAATGAGAGGGCATGTATAAACAAAATTCTAAAGATAATACTCCTTAAAACATAGCAGCTGCTACCCGAGAGAAGTAGATAGGGTTCGTGGTGTGATAAGAAAATATGCTCATTGCAAATATCCACCCCATCTCCTACAGAAATACCATTTCATCTCATCTGTTTGTTCCTAAAGGGAAGAGCAGTCCAAGAAAACATGGAGTTTTTGCACTTGCAGGAAAGAGAAAATCATCACCAGCTCAAGAAAACCCCATTTTGCCTCTGAAACTGTCCAAAACTACTCTTGCTCAGTCTGCCCTCGGAGTTTTTGCATTGGGATTTATAGATGCTGGGTAATTTCTTTCTATACTTTAAGGAAAAACTGAACTTTTTTAGTTGTGTCTTGTCATTTGATGTTTTTATACATGTGGTATGTAAATCAGGTATAGTGGAGATTGGTCACGGATTGGGGTCATCCCTAAGGAGAGCGAAGATGTGCTGAAAATTGCAGCATTTTTTGTGGTTCCTTTGTGCCTATTTATCATTTTTTCTTTTTCCAAGAAAACAGAGGATTGAAATATCACACATTAGTATCTCTTCTCAGTTCTCACCCTGCCAAATTCAATGAATTCATTGACCTATCCTGTTAGTATGTTTTGAATCTGATCACATTGTGTTCATTGAAGCAGAGGTTTTCCCTTGGAATGGAATTCTCACACATGGGAGTAATCCCTAATTGAATCGGCCATAAGATAGTTAAACTTGATTTTTTCCTATTTTACGCTTAGCTTTTAAGCTAGGAGAAAATTTTAATACTTGCTACATAAGGTATTCTGCATTCTTCATTCAAATTTTAAAAAACTGACCTTTGAATAGTTCATGGAGTTGTAATTATGATTCATTGTGTCTACTGTCTTGGGTTAGACATGGCCTCTAGATGTAGAACTAGGACCGGGATCATCCTGACTGGCCGACTCAAATTGAAAACTGAAATAATGGAAACTGGAGCAGAACCAATATCTAGAACTGGCCTAATTGAGTACAGTTTCAGTTCCTCAAAAAACAGGTCAGGGTACAAAACTGAACCAAAGCTACTATGATAATTGGACATGAATCGAATCTTATCTGGAAATTCCAGTCCTGGTCTCGGTACGGAGAGTGAGGATCAGGTATTGGAACATAATGGAGACAAATGGAGACAATCGTTGTGTCCAGTAGTTTTGATCCAACCATCCTAGAAGGAGCACATTTACAACTAATAAATAGGCAATTGATGAATCCTAACTACGTAGTATAAAATAAAAGATGAACACTAAGAATGATCAATGAAAGGTGTAAAACAAGTGTGCTATTAACAAGGAACAATTGTTTTCTTAATGAAGTGCCTTGAGCAATACATAGAAGAAACACAACTTGGGTATCTCAATTACTGTGTGCGTGTATACATAGTTACATACATATAAGGAAAGACAAATTCCACTAAATGTAGCCTTGCATTCACTGTTGATAAATTTATACTCTGTATATGTCTATGATATGGTCACCAGGGGTGTAGCCAGGAGAATAACTTAGACTGAGCTGGTACAAACATTTTTTTCCAGATAATTTTTTCATCATAATGTTTTACATATAGCATACATGCAAGTTTTTTTCAAACTCGGGGTGGGTCGGGCCCGGCTGAATCCTCCCTCAGCTACGCCCCTGGGGTCATACTAAGACCCGGCTAAAGGCTGCAGAGCGGCAATCCCCTACGCCAGTCCATAACCACTAGTGTGGCCACACAGTGTGCCAGCGCGGCCGCAACGACAAACACATGGAAGATCTGGTGGCTACTCCCAACAAGATCAAACCCGCCCGGTCGCAGCCTCTCTGGGATTCTAGCAACGTAGAACCCCGCCCCCACCGCGTACAAAACCCCCATGGCAATCTCACAACCGAGAGCCACCACAACCTGACGGTGGTGCCCATACAATAATGCGGTGTGCACAGCTGGGACAATCCCGAAGAGTCCCAGCGTCACGAAAACGGTTGCTTTAAAGGATCTGAAGCGACCGGAGGAGAGGGCGGGCGATAGAAGCGTGATGGCGGCAAGGGTGGCTAAGACAGTGATGGAAGTGAAGTAAAAGAGGCGCCAAAGAGGGTGGCAGGAGAAGATGTAGTAAGTGGGGGCAATGAAGGAGGTTGTTATCATTAGTGAGATCCCGGAGTGGTCAAGGCGCCAGAAAAGGAGGCTGCACCGCCGTGAGTGGCAAGCGAATAGGTGGGATACCGAGCTTACTACCAAACAGCAGGTCGCCCCTCCAAGGAATATAAACCAAGGCCATGTGGGAATCATAACTGAATCAGCTCCATTGTTGTTGATCACGTTATACAGGATTGATGACTCTGGAGATTTTCTTGGATAAGATTCCTGGACATAGCAGAACATGCATGCATGGAAAAGGAGAATGAATGTTTAATTTGTACATTCTTCATCATACAGTTTTCAATTCAATCAAAATGGAGAAATTTTGAGTCATGTTATGCATAGATCAAGCAAAGTATATATGGACTTATTGACTTATTATTGTAACAAAGTTAATAAATTATTAGCTATACTCATATACTCCCACATGACTTGTTTTTACGGATTATTAGTTTATGTACGAAATGATGACATGATAGACGGAATTAGGTTACCATATTCTAGTCTAAAATATGTGATCTAGCGTTGTGGTGTTTAGTGTGATTGGTTAGACAAAAGTTGAAATAAAGTCAAAATTTGGTTATGGATTGAAATTTTATTATTCTTTACCTAATCAGAAAACCATTACACAAGTTGATTTACATGATCCTTATCCAACGGAATCTACTTTAGAATTTCTTGCCATTTGCCAAAATGTGCATAACACCATTACGTACGTAGGGTATGTTTGGCACGACTAGCTGAAAAGATACTTTTGTGAGCTTTTTAGTAATTGTTAGCTTTTAGTGACTGAAAAGATCTTAAAAAGAAAAGGTGGCAGCTGTTTGGTAAAAAGCCGACTGTTTGATTTAGTCTTGTTTGGTATACAAGCTGTTAGGACAAATTAATAGTAAAAGTCATGGTCTTTTCTCGGATGCTACTCCCCGTAGCATCTCAAAAAAGATCTTTTATTTTTCGAGAAGCTCTTAAAATTTGTCATGCCAAACACACAACTAAAAGCTTTTAGAGACTTTTTAAACAATACAAAAGCTAGAAGACAGTGACTTATGTGTGCCAAACATGCACGTAGATGAACTTCTAAAAGCTTATTTGGTGATGGTAACGTATTTAATTGGTGCAATGGAATGAATTTAACTTATACGAAGTACTTCTATTAATTGTGGTTGAAGTGGTCGTACATTTAGGTTACCATGTAGCCTGTAGGTAATAATATCCTAAGTTATAGACCCGCTACAAAAAATTACGGGATTGACATTGATTTGGTACAGAACTACAGATTGATAGACGATTTCGTGCCAATAGCTCGTTCGAAAATGTTTTTAATCGTTATTTCAATAAAAGTATTTTGTGCACGGATTATACTATGTAAAACGGAGTATATAACATATTCTCCTGATTTGAAAGAAAAGTTTAAAGCTCCTTTAGATTTTTGTAGATAATATTTCCTCCATCGCCTTGTTTGGTTCAAAGGAGGGGAGGGAAGGGGAGAGTCAAGGGGGAAAGGAAAGGGAAGGGGAGGAAGGATTTTGATAAAAATTTGTGTTTGGTTGGAGGAAATGGGAGGAAAGTTTAATGAAAATATTTTCCTAATTTACCTTTATTTGATAGCTTACTTAAAAATTTAGATACATCTCTAACTATTGTGAATATTACTACTAAGGTCACGAGTCATAATATATACTATCGTATATTTTTTGAATTTTTTCTTTTTTCAAATTTATAGATCTTTTAATTTTTTAATTTTTATTTTTTTAATTTTTTGATTTTTTAATTTTTTTAGATTTTTAAATTTTTAATTTTTTTATATTATAACGTTTTGTCCTTTCACGTAGAAGAAAAATGATGGATAGTTTGTCGAAATCAACATGTTTCCTCCGAAATACCCCGATCTGCGGGGTTGAGAATGAGAGGAAGTGAAGGATTTTGGAAGCCTTCGACTTTCCTCCTCTTCGTTCCCTATTCCCTTCAACTAAACCCACAAATCACCTACTTCCCTCCTCTTTCCTCCGAAATCCTCCAACCAAACAGAGCCTAAAGCTTTCTCTGAGTTTGATAATTCAACCTTTTCAAAAAGTTCTGTCATCTTCTTTAAAGTAATAAATTCATAATTCAAATTATTTCATTCTAATCTCTCCAAATAGTAATTATACAATTTTTGTTTTATAATTTTGCATTCCGTAAAATCCCACCTGAAAGTCAAATTGACCAACCATATAGAATGGAGGAGTATTCTCTTAGTGGATAATCATGACAAAAATCTGGTTCTCTACGGAGTATGTATTAGGTGGAAGTTACTAAAAATTCCAATAAGGTTGAAGCGTATATTTAAGTATGTACTCCATATATAGTTGATTTTCACATTCAACAAGGTACACAATTTTAACAAACTTAAGTATAATTTTAGAAATTCCAACAAATTTAGCGAAAGCAATTTTGGATCCTGCCAAATTAGATTGCTGATCATAGATACAAATATAGAAGTAACATTTTTAGATAAAGTTGTTTTTACTATTCCCTTCGTCCCAATTTGATTTGCAAAATTTTCTATTTTGGTTGTTCCAAAATAGTTTTTCACTTTCTACTTTAGGTATATAAATAAGAATAAAATGACAAATTTACCCTTACTTTTACTTTTTTACATTAATTTAAAGACATCTATTTTTAGGAAAATGAATAAAAGTGTAAAACTAGGCATCATTTAATTCTTGTGCTAGTCAAAGAATATAATTGGAGATCCTGTCCAATCATACTTAGGGAAATGGTCTTGCACAACGGAAGTAAATTACGAAGTATTTTTTCGGTGACAAAGTTGAATCCGGAGTATATAAATTTGTTTTTAAAAAAAAGTTGAATGCATAAATAAAACAATAATAACAGTACAAATGGGATGGGCACTCCGTCCCGAATCATGTTTTTTTTTTCTTTCGACTCCAACATACGAAGTACATAAGTCCAAGAAATTGTTGTTCACATTTCTATTGATTGAATGTTTCTTTCATATGAGTTGGTATAAAATAAGGAATTAATATAAAGATCTTGTACTACTCTTCACATCATGTTGAGATCATGTTAACTTTTTAAAATGAAACATTAATTTGACACTTACGATTAGACCATTTATCACTATCAAGAATTAGAGATGGACATGTTGAAATGTTGAAATATTTGGTCTAGAGGAGTTTAGTACTACCTCCATCCCATGTTAGTTAGTTATGTTTGACTAAATATATTTATATAGGTATAATATTATGATAGTATTTAACACACAAAATATATAGTTTTACATGAATTACATCACTTTCATATTATCAATACTTCCGTATATAATATTAAAAGTCAAAGTTAAACATCATTGACTTGAAAAGTCAAGTTTGATTACCTAAAATTGTTGTTCTAAAAATCGTTCTAGTCTCCGCCTAGGCGCTAGACGGTAGTCGGACGGCCCAATTTTAGTCTAGGCGTTTCGATTAATTGGTTTGACGTCTAAGTGAATTAGTCGGTCGCCTAGGGGGCCTAATTACCCGCCCAGAGT